GCTTGGCCTGGGCGCTCGTGACCCGGGAGATGTGGGCCGCCTGCGCCTCGTCGTGTCGCGGCCCCGGTTCCACGACCAGCCGGGCATCCACCCAAGTCCCGCAGCTCCCGCCCCACGTCCCTGCCAACCTCTGGGACCCGCTGCCGAAGGTGAGACGCGCAGCGGCCAGGGTCCCCGGGGCCCCCAGCCGTCCCTTTGGGACCCCTTCTTAGGCCGCCCCCCCAGACGCCTCTCTGCACCCCAGGCTGGGGAGGGAGAGCCTACCACCCCTCTCCAGGGAACCCCTTCTCCACCCAGCTTCCCCGGGAGGCCCCCTGGGTCATCCTGCACCTCCTCCGACTCAAGGACTGGTGGGGCACCCCCTTTCATCCTAGGTCCCCATCGGTGTCCCGGCACTAGTACGAATCTTTGCCAACCTGGACCCGGAGGGCACTTCTTACTTCAGACCACAGGGGGGCCCCCACTTCCTTCGCTTACTCCCGGGGAGCCTCTTGGACTCTCTCTCCCTCCCAAGACCTCCAGGGAACCCCATTCCTCTTCCCGGTGCCTGGGAACCTCCTGCACCCCTAATCCTGCAGGGTTCTGGGCTTGTGTTCCGCAAGGGGACTGGGACGACTTTTATCCACTTTTATCTTCTCCTCTATTCTCAGGAGCAGGAGACGTTCGCCAAACTGCTGACCCCAAATGGTGAGTGTCCTGTCCTGCCATGGCCCTGGCCCCTCCTGTTGGGATACTGAGAAGGGGACCTCCTGGGAGACTGAGAGCCCATCACATGCTCTCACCCGGTCGACTCTGAAAGCTGCCGCTTCATCTCTCTGAACCACATCTATCTCCTGTGCCCTGCTCTCTCTGGCCTCCCCTCAATTCCCTTGAGACTTGGTCCACTTGGGACTCCTGCCCTCTCAGCTAGGGCGCCTCATCCCCAAGGCTGCGCCCGGCTCTGGGACGTCAGAACCGACTCCCCGTCCGTTCCTGAGAAGCCCTCTCCCCCTGACTCTGAAAGCTGCGGCTTCCTCTCTCTGAACCACACTCTCTCCTTTGCCCTGATCCTCTGGTCTCCCCTTCCCTGCTCGGTTCCAAAATTCGCCCAGTGCTCGCCCCTTTCACCTCCCTCTTTTAGAGGGCCCGTCCCCCTTTTCCTTTACCTCCTCCCCCTCCCTCCTCTCCCAGGATTCCCCCCACCCCAGCTCCTCCTCCTTGACCCTTTCCTTCCACCTGAGCCTTCGCCCTCTGCCTCCTCGCGTCCTCAGCCTTTCCTTTCCCATCTGCCTTCCTCCTCCTCTGCCTCCCTCCCTTCCACCCTGGTTCCTAGGGCCCCTTCATTCTGTCCTCTGCTCCCCCCGCCCTGCTTCAGGCTCCCGCACCCCGCTGTCTCTTGGCGGGCTCCTGCGGTCCAGCACCCCAGCTCTCCAGGCCTCTCCCATTCCCTACATCTCTCTGGATTTCCGCCCCTCCTTAGTCGACCCTTTCTCTTGGATCTCGGCCTCCTCTCTGGGTGATCCTTTCTCCATTCCCTCCCCTTCCCACCTCCCCCAGCCCCACCTCCTAACCTTCCACCCCACCCACGGTGACCCCCTCCTCTCCCTTCCGCAGTGCTGCTGAGAAATGAGACCTTGAGCTGGTACAGCCAGCCGGGGCTGAAAGGGGTGTACCTGTCTCCCGGCCTGAACTACAGTGAGGACACACGGGAGCTGGTGATGGCCCAGGACGGGGCCTACTATGTCTTCTTGCAACTGGAGCTACAGCGCAAGGCCACCCTCCAGAACGGGGGCGAGGTCTCCCTCACTCTGCTCCTGCAGCCTCCACAAGTTGGGGCCGCGGCCCTGGGCCTGACCGTGCATCTGCCTTGCTCCTCCGAGTCCAGAAACTCTGCTGGAGGATTCCGGGGTGGCTTGCTGCACCTCAGTGCCGGCCAGAGACTGAGCGTCCGCCTGAGTGTCCACCTGCATGGGAAGGCCAACGCGCAGGATGCCTGGCAGTTGGCCCAGGGTGGCACAGCCTTGGGACTTTTCCGCATGACCACGAAAGTGCCAGATGGATTCTTTTAGTCATTACCCAAGTGATGTGGGTTTGGGCACTGCCTACCTGGACAGACACATCCTGCCCTTCTTCCTTTCTTGTGGCCCCTTGTGCCGGGAGCTGGTCTGCTCTACCTCACCCCACTGGGCAGGGGTTGCTGGTGCTGATGTCTCCTCAGGACTCTCCCCACCCACTCCTGCTCCAAGTTGGTATTTATTTTGAGCCTGAGCTCAGGTACTATGTTTTATATTAATTCATTATACTTCATTTATATTTATTGAACATCTATTATGTACCAGACAGGTGCTGGGAAGACATTAAAAAAAAAGATTAAAAAAATCCTTATTTATGTTTATGTGGAAGAAATAAATATCCACTGCCCTGTGTGAGTCATGGGGCTAGCTTTTGGGGTATTGTGTAAATTTGCTGAGTGAGCCTCATTTATTTATTCAGGAGAATCAGACATTTTCTTTCTTTCTTTTTTTCCAGTGCTGGGGTTGGAACCCAGTGTCTTGCACTTGTTTGGTGAGCTGTCTACCACTGAGCTCTGCCACCCTCAACCCCCAAACAGCACTGTTTAAATTTCTGGGACACAGTCGTGAACAAGGCAGACACTGCCCCACTCCAGCCTTTACAGAGCTACTGGTCTGTTTTTTGGTGTGAAAGTCTGGGACTTTTACACGATTGTGTCTGACTCCATGTAGATAGGGGTTGGTAAGGGAAAGTGGATTATGGAGCTAGCCCCAGAACAGGTGGTTGGTTGGTCATCTGCCGCTGGAGACCCTGGGATGCAGGTAGCAGGGCTTGGTCCAGGTCCAGAGGCTCAGGAGAGTAAGAGAGAGAGAGACTGAAATGCCTTCCCAGTTATCCAGCCACTCCTTAATCCAGTTGACCACTAGAATTCATCCTGGTGGTACTGAATGACAGAACATTGTCCACACAGGGTAGAGTGTGTATTGGCGATCACTTATTGTATTCCAGTAAGAGTTAATCACTTGAGACTATCACTGTACCTGTGCCTTAGAGACTCTGCAACTTCTGTTTCCCCATTTCCTCTGCACCCATCTGGGGTTATTCAATGTGTCCTTGCAGCGGAAACACCACAGAATTGCATTTGTTGTGCATCTGTTTCCAAATCTGCTTAGTGGCATCACACTGGCAATCTGAACCCAGCCCTGGTGAGAGTATCTGCACCAGAGGAATCGGCAGATGCTGAAGGTCAGGGCTAGGTTTATCATTGGTTGATGGCCCAGACTCAAGAGAGCAGTGGAGGAAATGATGGTGTTAAACACGCAGAGGAAACCTGCAGGAGATCTTTCCTGCAGTGGTTCCGTGGTAAATAGCATGCAAATAGAGGACGCTTTCCTTTAGTGGAAGCCCATTATCTAATTCAGGAAAGAAGCTGCTCACTTTGTGATACAGAAGTGAAGTGCCCACACATATCCTCGTAGCTTTTTCTCATGTTATATTTTAAAATGAAGACACATATCAACCTGCATTCACTTAGTAGTGACAACCAGAAATTGGCGGCGGGGGGGGGGCACAAGAATTTGGGAAAAACATTCTTCGAGGATCTGGCAATGACATGGAATTTGCGATGGAGTCTCTCTTCTATTTTATTAGAGAGTCCCTGAGCTATGATAGGGTTACCTCCCAAAGAATCCACTGCACGTGGAAAATTCCACAGGGTGGAGACACACTGAGTACAGCTGACCTACGGACACCCCTGCTTAGCCCAGCTGCATAGCCCAGCTGCCTTGCAGGTGCTGCAGACAACTCCCAGGAGCCTGTGGTGGGCTGGACCTCTAACACAAAGCCCATCTGACAGTCATCGGTCGAATACCTCACGTACTTTCTTGCATACTGTACTGAAAATGTTCTGTGGACTGGAGAGATGGTGAAGGGGCACAAGCGATGGATGTGCCAGGCACCGGGGTGGGCAACTCTGAATACAGGTAGGATGGAGGAGGCGGAGCCGTCAGCACTTCTGACTTTTTAATGGATGGTGGAGGTGTTTGTAGATTTGGGGACCCCGGAGGACCATAGGTCACTTTGGGGTGTGTGGGATTTCCAGATGCCTTTGAGGTACCTTGACCCTGATGGTCAAAGGAAAAAGTGGAGTCAATTTGTAGCTCTGGAAGCTCTTTGGCTGGAGTACTACTTTGAAGGTATATCCAAATGCTAATGCAAGTTTGGGCAAGGAGCTATCTCTGAGAACACAAGTGAAGATGTAGAAATCAAGAGGGCATAAGACAAAGCCTCCAGGGACTTCAATGGTTCCGTGTGGGAGGACAGGAAATGTAGGAGGAGCAGGAGGAGCAGCACAGCAGGAGAGAGAGAAGATTCTAAGGAATGGGTTCAATAAGGAAGTTAGTGGTCTGCTACTGCTGAGAATCAATCACTATGAGAACTGAGAATATTTGCCATGATTTAATCACGAGAGTCATGGGTGGTTTTGCAAGAGCTATCTTGAATGGTGTGGATGGATTATGATGCCTCAGAGGCACCACTAAAAAAACTAATGAGAAGAATTTGAGAGAGTGTATAGACAGCTTTGTAAAAATGTCCGTATTTGGAAATAGATTCATATTTAAAGACAAGTTACATGAATACAAAGAACATCTGCACATCTTTTGCCCAGATTCACTGAATGTCAACTCTGCCCCATTTGCTTTGTCATTTGCCCATCCCCCATCTCCTCTCCTCTCTGCCTTACTTCGTTGATTCGCTGTTGCAGTAACACAGTTCCACAGGCTGGGAAAGTTAAAAAGAAAAGAGACTGATTTTGGCTCACGGTTCTAGAGGTGGAAGGCTGCGCTGGCATCTGGGGATGCCTTCTCTCTGCAGGAGTCCCAGGGTGATGTGGGACACCACATTATGTGCCTGTCTGAACTCTCTCTTCTCTTCTTACAAAGCCACCAGAATTCAGTCCTGCACTCTGAGGCTTTATCTGACCCTGATTGCTTTCCAAAGGCCTCTCAACCCCTTGGTGGGATCAGGGTTGCATCCCCTGGGTGCCTCACTGTGGAGATGACACGTGGGTTGCAGAGGGGAGAGGCCATGGTGCAGCCAGAGGACTCTCTGTCTCTCCCTGTCTTGTGCATATAATTTTGAAAATTTCATTTAGGGTGAGTCAAACCAGAAGAAGCAAAGCCAGAGAAAGTCACAGTGTGAGAGTTCAGAGCAGTTCTAGGAAGTTCCAAATGCAGTGTGAGTGGATTCAAGAAACAGAAGGAAGTTGGTCAGGTGATTGCTTAGAAAGCAGCAGGAGATACCCTGGATGTGGTTTACTTGCTCTTCTGGCCCATGCGTGGAGCTGCCATGGCAATACCCTTTGACCTTAAGCTAATGTCCTATCCAGCAAATGGCATGTGTGTGTGTGGCACACTCGTGCACACATGCTCGCTTTTGGAGCTGGGATTTGAACCCAGGGGTGCTGCACCACTGAGCCACATCCCCAGCCATTTTAATTTTGAGACATGGTTTATGCTAAGTGAGCCAAGCTGGCCTCCAACTTGCATCCTCCTGCCTCAGCCTCCCGAGTATCTGGGATGACAGACATGACCAGCCTGCTGTACTCACTCCTCTTTGGATATAAGGTTATAGAAAACAGATTAGGTGGAAGAGCTGGGATTTTCCAGCATAAAGACGAACAGACATGAAGGATCATCAGGCCCGAGTCCAAAATCAACACCAGGAAAGAGGCTCCCCAGCGCTGGAGCTGTAGCTCAGTGACAGTGTGCTTGCCTAGCACGTGTGAGGCAAGGCACTGGGTTCTCAGCACTGCATATAAATAAATAAATAAAGGCCCATCAACAACTAAAAAAAGAGTTTAAAACAAAGAGGGTTCCCAGACTCTAGCCTGTTGGTCATTTCTCTGAGAAGATGTCATTTTATTTCAGATTAAATGATATTTTAATATGCAGATTTAAAAATCTAAAAGAATACCCTCTCAAATTTAAGCACCACCGTCATCAAACTTGCAGAGAGATATTAAATGCAAAGATGAGTACAAGTGCTCATGGCAACCACCACGAGATGTCACCTCTTGCCTGTCAGGATGCTGTGATTCAACAGGTGAATACTGAGTGCTGTGAGGATGTGGAGAGAGGGAGACCTTCACACGGTTGGTGGGAATGTAGACTGGCACAGCATTATGGAAAAATCAAATGGGTATTCCTAAAAAAAAATGAAAACTAGAACCATCATATACCCAGCAGTCTCACCTCAGGGCATACATCCCAAAGAAAGGAGAGCGGAACCCTCCCTGTTCATTGTGGGGCTGTTCACAGTGGTCAGGACAGTAAAGCAACCTCAATATCCACCAGCAGGCGGATGGCCAGGGGAAAGGTGGTACACATGCAGTGGAACACTATGCAGCCTTAAAGAATAAGGAAATTCTGCCATCTGCAACAACATAGGTGGAACTGAAAGATATTATGCTAAGTTAAATAGGACAGGCACTCGAAAGGAAATACTTCATAATGTTACTTTTATGTAAAATCTATAAATCTCATAGAAATAAAGCGTGGAGGGGCTGGGAGTGCAGTTCAGAGGTAGGCTTTATGCTTAGCAGCATATGTGAGGCCCTGGCTTCCGTCCCCAGCAACCACAGCAACCAACCAAAGAGAAGAGTAGGAGGTGGTGTCCTGAGGCTGGTGGGAAGAGGGTGGATGGGGACAGGGACGATGCTGACCAAAGGGAACGGAGTTCCAGTCAGCCTGGAGCTGGAAGCTGGAGTGACTTGTGTAGTTCACAATTGCTAAAATAGCTTCTAATGTTCTCACCAAAAAAAAAAAAAAAAAAGTAAGATGGTGCTATGCCTTGAATCTGGAAGGCCCTGTAAAGGCTCATGTGTGGAAGGCGGGGTCCCCAGTGCAGCACTGTTCAAAGATGGGACCTGTGTTTAGTGACTGGGTCCTGCAGGGTCTAAACTTATCAATGGTTTTGTTCACAGATGGTTTAACAGCTGAATGTCCTATTGGGAGGGGGTGGAAACTCTAGGAGGAGGGACCTAGGTGAAGAGAGTGCCCGTGGAGACTTTTTTCTGTCCATGGCCACTTCCTCTCTCTTTCTCTGCTTCCCAGATACAAAGAGAGGAGCACCCGCACTCTCCCCACCACCATGTTCTGCCTCAGCAGAGGTCCAAAGAAACGGCGAGCCTCTTGATCATGGACTATAACATACAAAACACTGGGCCAAGATAAATCTCTTTTAAGTTGATGCTCTCAAGTGTTTTGTTATAGCAATGAAAAGTTGACTAAAAAGTCGATGAGGTGATGGACTGTTGAGAGCCACAGCCAAAGGGGCCCCAGCAAACTTCCAGCTGCCAGCAAACTTCCAGCTGCCGGCTGATGATCCAGCTGCCAGCAAACTT